TTAAACTCCACATTAGTCCTTGGGTGGTATATTCAGAGTGTGCCTGGCCACTGCTGTTTGTTAGTTTGCTGCTCCCTAAGGAATAAAATACTTTCTTGTTGTAGTTGGAAACTGCTCTTGCTACTAGACAAGATTTCAGAAGAGGGAATAGATTATATTTATTCAGGAATTTCAGAATTGGAGGCATACTTTGTTTCTGAAGGGAGATTATATCAATGGCTGTGTGGAACTTAGTCCTCTTTAATTGTTACTTATAAGACTCCCAAAATAAAATCCTGAGCTAACAGAGTTCCAGCTCAGTCCTAGCACACTTTTTTTTTTTTTTGTCCTGAGTATCATTTTCTTAGCACAAACAAACAAGAAATTGTGTCAGATCTATAAAAATAGCACCTTTTCTGTCAGGTCTTGCATTTGAAAACAGGAGTAAAGTTGTATTTAGCATGTGCCTTGTAGCTGTCTGCTTCCCTTTGCAATATGCAGCAGGAAAATACCTTTTGGTTCTTTGCTGCTAGAATTTTCTTGCTGTTTCTTCTTCCTACTCTTCTGTTTACTGATGGCACTGTATACTTGATGGACCTTTCCCTCCTCCCCCCAGTACTCTCCTTAGTAAAAATGTTGAGTTGTTGTTTAGTTCACCCATCTTGTAACACTTGGCTTTTCTCAACTACTCTGTCTTGATTTAGGTATCTGTTCAACCTGATACAACATTCAGTGATATCACATACCAGAAATTACTGTACAATTTTAAGACCTTGGTGGTTGATAATGTGTTTTGTAGGTGCATAATGCCATAATTAAATGCCCTTTCATATTTAAAACTGATCTCCATCCCCCAGCTCCTTGTGTGCTGATGATTTCAGAGGACACCTGGGCTAAATATTTTGTGGGCAAACCTTTATTACATGACTTTAAAGTGCTTGAGTTTGCAGCAGATGCCATGCTTTCAGAGTAGCATTGAGTACATAAGGAGGCTTTTGCATGTAAGAAGTCTCTAAATGAAAATCCATTATGGCTTCTGCTTTGCCAATTAAATCTAAGTTCTAGCTTCTCCTGCTTTGACAAAAACTTCTTGTCACAGTATTTTTAATGGTGGGTTTGGTTTTTTTTTTAATATTGGGAGTTGAAAGGAGGAGGACTAACTCTATTGTGTGCTGTGAAGGTAGCCTCAACTGAATTGAAATACTTTTCCCGTGTCTGTCTTCCAACTACTTGAAAGCCTTTTACAATATTTTTTTCAAGCTCTTCAGCTTAGCAGTTTTTCTACTTATCAACCATATGGCCTCACAGTTTCTGTACTAGATTAATCTGACTTGGTCCTCTTTATGCTGCTAGTTTCCAGATTTATCCTCAGTTGCCATTTGTGTGGGTTTTTGAAACATTTCATGGCAAGATGTGAAACGGCTGTCTTTAATTGGCAGACGGGGGCCAGTGTGCATCAGTATTATGAAGCATGAAGTTGTGTACGTGGGAATGAAGAACATGAGACTGAAATAACATGCTGGACGCTGTGGGAATGTGGTTCTAGTCCTGGTTCAGTCTCCTGAATGTGAGCTCCTGTAGTAGCCTTGAGGCAAAACCAAACAAAAAACCTCAGTGGTTCAGTAAGGAAATGCTGACTGTGCATCAGAAGACTTTTTTGATAACTGGAACACTGATAAAACTGCATGTGGAATGATGATGTCCTGTTAGGTTGTCAACAGATATGAAAAGTAGACTAATGAGAGGGGTTTCAAAAGGAGCCAAGTGAATTGTTGAATAATTAGCAAATAATTTTTATGCTAGAAGACCGAGAAGTTAAAGTATATCAGTGAAAAATCTAAAAGTTGATTTTAACACGTAAAAGCTTCTGTGGGGATATGACAAATGGAAAATGAAGAAGGAACTCTACAGGCAGCAGATGGAGATGAGCACAAACCAATGTCCAGATGATGAAGCCAGATACTCATACAGCAAATGAAATGCAAGTTTCTTCTGACTGTAAGGGTTATTGATCATTGGAACAGTTTATCTGTGGTCTGCTGGATTGCCTGTTGCTAGCCACTGTGAAACTACGATGGTAGATTTTTCTAGAAGACATTTTAGCTCAGACAGGAGTTATCTTGAGAGACTCAAATTGTGCTTAAGCAGGAGGGCTGATTCAGCAGTCATACCACGCAGTCTTATCCTCAAACCTGTGAAATTATTTTCTCAAATCCCTGAACTGTTGCATGGTTAGATGAAGTCTTTCTTTGCTATAGTTTACTCCTGTATAGATTTTGTTGATGAAATGTAGCTGAATGTGTTTTTCCCTGTCAGAAACATTGCAGTGGTGATCAAAGGGAAGCTGTACGAGCTCGGCACCTTCCAGTCCAGTCTCTGTTATGCCTACAGAGAGAAAACTAAGCAAACTGAGAGTAGTTTCAGTGGTAACCCACTGAGTAGCCCAGAACATTTTAGAAGGTTCTAACTCACAAACTTCAAAGAAGAAATAATGTTTATCTTTTACTTCAGAGCAAGGTGTTGGGGCCTCCATTTCCAAGGGAGCAGAAGTCACGTACCGTGAGAGATGGCAGTGGCTTTGACTGGTCAAAGTCTGCATGTTCCACAGAAATGCTTTTTGGGGCACTGGGGATAAATGCATGGCGTCCAGGACTTCTGTTGTCACCTCTGTGTGCAAATGAGGCAGTCTGCTTTAGAGCTTACAGGATTGTGGAGTCGTTAACAGTAGCTTCTTGGGCTTAAAATGGGAGGCTTTCAGAGAAAAACATTGTTCTTAGCTGCTATCTGTGCCTTTCATCTGGAATCATAGCTACCTTTGTGACCATCTTGTGAGATGAGGGGGAGCAGCTGTGCTTAGTAAATCCTAAATCTTTCTTCAGTTATCACAGATAGATGAGTAAGTTGTAAAATATAAGAGTGCTTAGCATTTTTATCTTCCCAAGCGTATTTGATTTCTGTTTTTTTTTTTTCTCCACACTTCACAAGCTGTTGGCCTCTCTTTTGTTGTTTTACTTCTTACATGATCCTTCCCAATTTTCTAACAGGAATTCACTCAAGATCCTTGGTGACTTTGTAGGTAGACCTTTTCCCATTCTGTGACTTGTCTGTTATCTTTGGTTTCTGATCCATTTTTTATCTTCCCTCATAGTTCTTAGCTTTTTTCTGTGTGTGTAGGATACTATTGAAGTACTTCTTGGAACTCTTCAGTTGCCATCTGACTCTTGATTACGCACTGCCTCTATGCTTCTATTGGAAATTTTGAAATCTCTTAAGAGGTCATCTTCGTTTTCTGTTAGATTTTCTTCATATTATTTTCCAAGTGTCTTATTCTCTTCTCTTGCTGCTGTCAAACATGTCAAGCAGAGATGCTACATTTTCAAGTCTAGCATTTTCTAGATTGCCCTTCTTTGCTTCTAGATACTTCACTTCTACTTCAGACTTTTAAAACGTGTTCTTAATGGATTTACAGCCTATTGTTAGCTTAATTATTTTATTCTTGAGCCTTGAAACTCCCACATGTGGAGCATGAATCTGATAATTGTTGTTATAGTCTAGACCCTCTTGTTCTCTCATTGATCTTATCTTTGTGTCTAGGTAGTCTTGAGAAGTTTTATCTCCAACATGTAATGACCAGAAGGTTGTGTATTGTCCCAGAAATGGTTGTCTTAGTTATTTTGGTAGATCTGCTCATTCTTGCTAGTATACTTTCTGGTATACTTTTTGGTTGTGCTGGCTGGTGTGTGGGGTTTTTTTGTGTGGTTTTTTTTTTAATGCTTCAGATTTAGACTGTGTTTGGGGTTTGTGTTTTCATCTGGAAGCTCCTGTTTTAACTTGTTTCCTTCTGTATTTATTTTGTTGCTATTATATTTCCAAACTGGTAAGGCTGTCCAACTGTCCTGCCTCCTCTTGGCCATTATGGCTTGTTCTTTGACTTTTAGTTCTTGCTCCACAGAGGTTTGCCAAGACTGTTTTCTTAGTAGCATCTGAGCTATGAATATGCATTTTTAGTTTGTATCATTTGAAAATCAGAGCCACATTAAAAGATACACAAGAACAAACTAAAGTTTGAAGGCACTGTCCTCTGCTGGTGCTTTGCTCTGCTTTGGGTGTATTAGCCACTGTTGTGTGGCTGTTGGTCTCCTGTGCCTTTTTGCATGTTTATTTGGGGAAAGAGTTAGCTCTTGCTATAGTGAAATTAATTAGTATCAAAATAGTTTCTTTATTTATGTAGTACTATCTTCTAGTTTTGCTTTTTTTTTTTTTATGGAGCCAAAGCTGTCTATGACAGAACATTGTTGGTCTTGTAACATTGTGTTCTGGTTCCTTTCTGGACCAGGAGAGTAGTAGTGTGGAATAGCCTGGGATTCACAACCGGATAGACTTCAGGCTTATGAACTTTTTTTCATCCATTTCAGTATCTCCAGTTTCAAAACGCTGAAGATTGCTATGCGTGTTGCATGTACATAGCAGTGTGTCTTACCTCCAAGCATGCATGTACATAGCAGTGTATGTCTTGCCTCCAGGCAATGTAGTTGTATCAACTAGGCTCAGTAGCAAACTGTTTTGTGCTCACCCTGGTTATCTTCTTACTAATTAACGTTCTGTTTGAGTGGGTGATTTGGATAGGGAAGTAGGGAAGGACTGACTTTGCCACTTTTAATGTGGGGCAAGTGTTTTGTGGTCTTAAGATTGGGATTTTTTTGCTTGCTTGTTTCAAGGTGGTTTACTCATAAACTTAAAGCTTGCTTCCCTATCACTCATGCCATCTGAATTGCCTACTTATTTCAGTCTGGGACCCAGATTTTGCTCTAAGCAAGAATTGTTACTCCTGCTTCTGGTACTTTTGTTTGAGGTTTCTGTTCCAGAGAGGTGTTTGGAAGCGTGATCACACAGATCAAAACAGTAAATTCTGTGTGAGGGAACTGACTGTAATGTGGCAAGTCCTTGGAGTTTTGTGGGAGGTGGGGGTGGGGGTGAAAAAAGTAGTAGCACTGTTTCTACTTCTTTTTCCTTTCTCCCAGATCAAGTACTGCAACTAGCAGAAACTTTACTACCTCTTCAAAATCATCAGCAAGTTCTTATTCCTCAGTGTCTGCCACTTCTGTCATTACTAACGGTGATAGCAGTAACTCCTATGGACTGAACAGCTCCCACCTGGGCAGGGGGTAAGAGCAGGAATGTTCTTTTTGTTTCTTCGTCCTTCATGTGAATGAATACTCCTGTGCATTCTTGCCTGTATAGAAAAGGAGGAGTTCTGCTACTCTTGTGTACCTGTTTATCAAACTTTGCTTTTGAAACCACTATGTTCTGCTGTTCCTTGCTCACTTGCGAAAGTAGTGCATGTTCCAGAGCGTACTAACTACTAGGGCATTGGCTGATTTTGATGGGATTGGGGGTATGAGGGAAGGGATTATTTTCTTTCTCCATCTGCCAGTGTAATAGAAGCCTTTCCAGGTAGAGATCATAATTTTCTTACTAGCTCTTACAATATGTCATATAGATTCATACAGACTCTTGCTGCATTAGGATAGTGTGCTGTGTACCTGTAGACAAAGGAAATTAATGTGTTATGAGCCATAAATTAATAATAGACTGTGTAACTATTAATGTTTCCAAAATTAGCACATATACTTCACATTCCTGGTATTCAATATTAAGCCACTATGAAGCAGCAGAAACATGTAGGCTGGTTAAACAATTTCATTAAACATTTTTTTGACTCTTACTTAATGTGATTCTTAAACAGTATTGAGGATTGGTAAACTCATTGTGGGGTTCACTGTGTTGTCTTTCTTCCAGAGGTTCTGGATTTGTCTGTAACTCTTACAACTGCAGGGACAGTGCTTCCCTGTCACAGCCTGGACTCTGTGGACTCAGTAACCTTGGAAATACCTGCTTCATGAATTCTGCATTACAGGTAAGAATTGGAAAGAACCCTCTTTAGAATTAAGCAAAAGAGCAGTCTCGCAGAGATTGTGGATTAAAATCTGTGGAAAGAGAAGCATGTTTTAATGTGATTCAATGAGGAGACTGCACCTGGAATGAAAAAAAACAACAACAAAAACAACAACCAAAAAAACCCCAACCAAACCAAAACGATCAGTTCATATTTAGTTTGGCTTATGTGTAGCATGTTAGTACTATAAAACATAGTACGATGTGAAGGGCTGGATCCGAAATGCCTTCTGAAAAGGCTATGGGGAAATTGTACTGAACAGATGCCTAACTGTAATGTAAGGTCCTAAGGCTTTGCTCTGGCAAGAATGGGCTGACGTGGAGGATGTTTTGACTTGTGTGTGCAGCATTAGCTACACGAGCAAGGCACTGCACACAGTTCTGGGGTCCCTGTTTAAAGACTCTTGAAAAATTTGAGTGTGAAAAGCTATAGGAAGGGTTCAGGGTGATTGTGTGGAGTGGTAAGGTTGTAATGGTTATGCAAAGCTAATAATTATTGGTATACTTATTTAACTTAAGAGATTCAGTTTATTTGGTTAATTTAAAAAAATTCAGAAACTTGTTAGGGATAGTTGTTTGCTAAGGAATTCAAACAAAATATGAGCCAACATATCAACTTTGATTTAAGCAATGGGCAAACTTCTAGTGTGGCACGAGTGCTACATAATGACTTCTGTCACTCTGTGGTAGCTTTGAAAGCTAGAAGAGGTCTTAAAATAACTATAATGCATTATGCATGTGGTATTCAGGATACCACAATAAACTTGGACTGCCTCACTTTTTTTGTTTGACAGGACTTTATTTTCAGTTGTATCATGGTAACCTTAAACCACATTATGTTTTATTGAACTTTACAGCTAAGAGACAACTTGTAAAATTAATTTTGATTATCAAAGTAACTTAATCTAAACACCTTTCAGTCTTGATTTTGCATGCAAACTAGTCATGTTAAAGACCAGTTTCTTTCTTTCTTGTATTTTCCATTAGGCTTTAATTTTGTAGACATCAGTCTTTCAAATGCAGATTTCTGCCTTAGTTTTTGGAAATTCTTGGAATTTTGTCAGTAACAGTGTTCCAGTGAGAGACTGGTCAAACAATAGCAGTCTGTAAGCACTTTAATGTAATTTGCCTGGAGAAAGACACTAACATCTGGGCACTGGAACTGGAAAAATTTGATGGGAAATAAATTCCACAAGGTACATGTCAAGGCAGTGAAAATGGGGTTGGCTGAAAGGCAGACTACGCTTTCCTGACTCTCTCCAGATTGCCATGTGTAACTGTGCTGGGAGATCTGTGTACCTACACCTAGTTCGTGAAGCTCTGTGCAGGCACCTGCTATGGGTCCTGAAATTTCAGGCATTCAGAAAGAGCTCTGTTTAATGTTTTATTGCTATCACAGTGCCTTGATGTCCTAGTAGTTTTGATCATAATCTCAGACTTGGCTCTCTTTGTTCACATATCTAAGTCTTCTGAGTGTCACTTACTGCTATAAGCTTTGAGTCTTTTCTTGAATTAGGGAAACTACTGTCTGTGCTAGTTTTACTTGTGTCCTGAGGTTTACGGTGATTCCCCAGGATATATTACATCATCACCATGATACACTGATGATCAGTATGTAAATAGGAGAGTAGATATGGAGTAGTATGTTTCCTGCCTTTAAAGTTTGTTAACTTTTTGATGGGGATTTTTTTAATGGCTTGTTGTTCTTTGGAGGACAAAGTATAGTTTGTGTTTCACCTCAAGGATGAACAAGGACCTCTCTTATTCTCACTGTTGTTTATATTAGGATTTCAAGGTTAGAGAGTGGATATGGGATGTAGACTTGAGAACATTAAGGTTCATCTCTAAAGACCTTCCTGACATGTTCTGTGCAGATTTCTGTGTAATACATCAGTAAGGTAGCCTAGCCTACCACCTCAGTAACGTGTGGAAAAAACAGGTACAATGTACATTAATTATAGGATTTGGTGAGTATTGGCAGGACTGTGATTGTAAACTTTACTCTTACTGACACTTGCAGGCTTGATTTTGTGTCAGACTTCAGCATTACACCAAGAGATTCTACTCAAATTGAAGCATCAGTGGAAGTTACAGAACAAATTAACAAAATGTGGAGGGATATAATGCCAAGAGCAGATATCTTCCAGAAATCTGGGTTGTTGGTTTTTTTTTTCACAAGGTTGCTTGCTCTTTGCTTTGCTGAACTATTAAATACAGTAACTTTATATCAATGCTTAAAATTATTCTGCACCAAAGGAATGGAAGGTGCCAAATGCAATGTCAGTTTTAAAGAAATTTCTGAAGAACCAAGGAGCTGCAGACCAATGAGCCTTACGCCTTAAGATAAGGCTTAAGAGAAAGTTAAGAGCAGTAGAAACTGCTCCAGAGGGGTGACTTACACTTATGGGCAAATACATTGTATAGGAGGGAAGTCAGTGTGGCATCTGCAAAGAGAAACCATGTTTCAGAAATGAGCTGGTGGTCTTTTGAATGCTGCTTTGGTGGTATTTCTTGTTGATTTCAACCATGCTTTTGAGTTGCAATGGTTACAGTGTCCTGCCTTCCCAATAGATTTTTTTTTTTTTTAAATTAAATATGTACTTAAATTCAGTCTCACAGGTTTGTTAATAGCATAGTACATGTTCTGATGTGAAAGCTGGGTTTGTTATTTCATTGTTGCACAGATTTATTGTCCTGTGCAGCAAATTAATTTTTTAATGCTTTTTCAGTGTCTGAGCAATACCCCTCCTCTGACTGACTATTTCTTGGAAGATAAATATGAAGCTGAAATAAATCAGAACAATCCACTGGGGATGAGGGGAGAAATTGCAGAAGCCTATGCAGAGCTCATTAAACAGATTTGGTCTGGCAGACAGTCTCACGTGGCCCCACGTATGTTTAAAGTAAGTATTCTATGTTCTTTTAGGATAGCTCTTTGACAGAAGAAACAGTGAAAGCTAATATGGCTTCCATATATTTTGGTGTTATGAAAGCAGTAATGAGAGAATTGCTTCAGGGTTGTTTCATGTTTTATGTAAATGCTTTTCAGGGTACAGGGAGGAACTTGCCAGTGAGTAGTGTCATACCCCAGAATTGGTTACTGCTCTTTAATGTTCAATGCCTTACTTAGTAAATGACCTTCCAGCCTGAGAGCTGTTACAGATGCATCAATATGATCTTTGCTACAAAACTAGGCAAGGTCATGTGAATTGCCAGCCGTGAACTTTAATCAGTGAGAAAATGTGTGCAAGTTATAAATTTAAAAAATGAAATTATAAAGTGGAGAGCAAAATGCATCCCCTTGTCTATAATGTTATCTATTGATGTCATGTTCCCAGTGCTTCAGTGTGAAGAGCTGCTTTCAGCTGAAGTACTGCAAAGTAGCAGTTGTATATGAACCCCTTGGAAAATTGTAACTATGTCTTTTGTTTTAAATATATTGCAAAGATGCTCCAGTGCAGAACAATGTAATTAAAGCATCCAAGGAACACTAAGAGTTTGCTTCTATAGTGCAATCTCAGTACGCTGAGGAAGAATAACATCCCAAATACATGAAATAAACGATGACCTGATACTAATGTAAATGTGCATCCTGTTGCTGTTTAGGTTTTGCATGGTATATAGTCTTGAAGTTGAGGGTATATGCTTTTGAGACCTAGAGCAAAAGTCTCATGGACTACAGAAGTCTGTCCTCTGTAGGGTCATAGGTAGTTCTGAAACAAGTAGAAGTTTAATTTCTGTGACTTGGAGGTGCTGACACATTATCCACTGCTTTTAAAGTTGTTCTGTAAACTTCCGTTCAGAGGAAATACGTGAATCTGTAGGAAACATCAATAAAAGTGTCTTAATGTGGGCTGTTCTTGTTTAAGACTGGAACAAGAATTACTCTTTATTTCCTAGTACAGTATCACTTGTGATTTTTCTAACAATTGTTGCTGATTTAGTGACAGTGTTAACTATCTCTGTAATGTAAACAGCCCTTCAGTTTGGGCTCCCTTGCGGTTGTCATCCTGAGTGATTAAAATGTTCTAAGCATAATTTTGCAAGTCTGTTGGACTCTTTGTGTTTATGAGAAAACTAGTGATGGTCACTAGGACTGACCACTCCTTCAGTTAATTGTTGGTTTTCCTGTGGGACCCCTCTCCATTGTTTTTTTAGAAGCAGAAACACTAAATGGCAGTGTTGTGAGATAGCAGTTATGAAATAACAGGCTGTTACATGGGTGTGCTTTTTCTGGCTCTTGCTAACTCAGGCTGTTATGTTTCTTAGCTTCATATCACAATTTTTAGAATAGCTAGAGATTACTGTGGCGAGGATTTCAATCTCAGTTTTAAGCTAGTTTTGTTAGTTCATAAGTATCTTCTGCAGGCATTTTCAGTCTTGCAGTCCACCTGCTTCAAGATGCTACCTTATAGCAAGTCTGCATTGTGGGAACTGCAGGTTTCTGAAAGAGAAATTAAAGTACAAAATTCATCAGGCAGGTAGGTTTTGTGTACTGGTTGTTTGCAGGTTCCTAAATTAATACTGATAACTTAGATTTCTAGCATCACACCACTAAATGCATTCTTCCCTCTAAACACTGGGGCGGGGCGCAAACCTAGTTGGGAAAATTATTCTGGCACTCTTGCTGCGTTAGCATCCAGTTCACTGTGGTCTACTGCTCACATAAGGTAGCATGGAGTTGATTGCTGAGAAAGCTAGGATGTGAGTGTTTTTATTTCTGTCTTTTACACATAGGTAGTGCTCACCCCCCTCTGACTCTTGCCTTTGTGTTTCAGACACAGGTTGGCCGATTTGCTCCGCAGTTTTCAGGATACCAGCAGCAAGACTCGCAGGAACTCTTGGCTTTTCTTCTAGATGGCTTGCATGAGGATTTGAACAGAGTGAAGAAGAAGCCCTACTTGGAGCTGAAGGATGCCAATGGCAGACCTGATTCGGTATGGTGCCCTTTACTTGAGGGTAAGGCAGGTAGCGCTTCCAAGGGAGTTTAGTTGGCTTTTGTGACTCTTCCTGGCCTTCCCGCTCACAGGCCACACAAACATTCTCCCTGTAAAGCAGTGTACCTGGGAGGGGAGAACCCTGTCGTGCTTTATGGCATGGCTGACTCTTCATGACACCTTGTGGCATGTTGCTGTTGCTCTGCCTTAACAGCAGAATGTCTGTTCTTATACTGGCATGCAGGAAGATGTGGTTATGATACAATACTGTTGTGGTTCTGCAGTGGAAAGGAAGGAAGTTGATCTTGTGACATAACAGCTGTCTTAAAGTATGCTGTAGTTACTACCATAACTGTTCCTCCCTGACTACTCAGGCCCACCTTCTTCCTCCTGGTAGATTGAGCAGCAGCTTTTAGCATCAGTTTGAGGAGAATGCTTACTGTGCAGGCCATCATACTTGCCTGTGGACTTGGGTGAGACTAGAAGCATTGTCATGCAGAGGTGCCGGGGTGTCCCTCAAATAAGGGTCTGAACACGTGCCCTGGGCATGGGGTTGTAAGCAGCCATTCTGGTGTCCCACTGGTAGATAGCAGAGTGTCAAATGAAGTGAGCTTTTAGGCCAGACTTCTCGTGTGTGCTCCCTCATGGTCTCTAGACAAATGTAATCCATGAGCTAGATTTAAAACCAGGTTGAACAGGGTGCATGAAATCACTGGTCAAGACAAGGAGAGAACAAAGGTATAAGTGACTTTGTACAGCCGTGGATCTTGAATTCCTAATGTTTGGTGAACTACCTCATCTCCTTAAGAAGCTTAACTTGATTTTTCTCCTTTCTGGTGCCATGGAAATGGGTACACTGATATTAAAGCAACTTCACATTGTATTTAATTTAAATTTGAATTTAAACACCCTTGGGCTCCAGTTACCCACTCTACCTAAATAGAGAAAAGTAATTCTCTTACAGCATTTTCCTGACAGAGGCCAAAAAGGTGTCTTCTGTTCATTTTTCTCCCTGCCTTTTCTCTATCCTCTGTTTCCCAGTCAACACTGATGCATGAGCCCCTTGCAGACACTTTGTTTCTCTGAAGTTGGCAAACACCATGCTCACATTAAAATGAGACACATGATAGCGAAATGTCTTTACCTAAGTGAACTCACATTCTCCTCATCAGGCTTTTACCTCTTGTCACAGTACAGACAGCTGCAACATACAGACAAATGCAGGGTCCAGAGTAAAAATATTAGGTAGAAAGATGCTTTAGGAGCCCCTAAAAGCTAGATGCAGTAATTATTTTTAGGAGGTGTATGTGACTAGTTGTTTTTCCTGTTAACTGGCAATAACTTCATGTCTTTTGCCTTTTCTTGCATAATATAGTGCATGTGGCAACACCACAAGAATGTGTAATCTTTTTTTTTTTTCTCCAAGAAATGCTGATAATTGTGGGATGGAAAGAATGCCCAGCATGCCTTCCTTTTATTTAGGTACTTCCCTCCCCCTGATATAGGAAATGTACATGTGTTTTTGCCTTGCAACCATATCACTGCAGTTGGTGGAGCTTATTACTCTGTTCCCATCTCAGCATCCTCCTTAGTGACAGTAACGTTGCAGTGTGTGTGTATCTCTGGCACTTATTTCACTTGAGATACATATAAAATGTATGGTATTGTACCATAAACTGAAAGTCTCATGCTAAGAAGAGCCTCTGACTGCAATGAGTAGACAAATGTCAGTTATCAGATGCCCTTAGGTAAGGAGTTTGTAAGTTGCATTGTGAAAGTCTTCGAGGGACTTTAATTTGTCTCCTTTTATACTTCTTTTGTGAAACATGGACCATCATTTTCCAGGGAAAAATTCTCTTACTTTTTTCTCCGAAGTTGTAACTGCAGTTGTCTTTCAAAAGCAGGGGGCAGCAGTCTATTCCTCATGGAGGAGAGTGGAGTGTATCTTGTTAGCAGCTTGTTGTCCTGAAGAGCAGCGTGTAACCCTGTCACTGTCCCTTTGGCTCCATTCATGCTACTGGCATTGTGTGCACCAAAGAATACCTGACCAAGTGACTCAGCTAAAACAGAAGTATTACATTTGACTTGACACAAGGCCTTAGTTTCACTGAGGAAAAAATCCCAGTGTGTTATGCTGGACACACTGGTAGACCCCACCCTTTCTGTGAAATTTACCTGTCAGTATCAATTTTCTGAGTTTTCTTTGATTCCTGTGCTTGCCATGCTATGGAAGTGATTGCGAGAAAAAAACTTTTAATGTATTTTTTTTCTTTTTATAGGAGGTGGCAAAAGAGGCCTGGGAGAATCACAGGCTGAGGAATGATTCTATTATTGTGGATATTTTTCATGGTCTTTTCAAATCTACCCTTGTTTGTCCCAAATGCTCCAAAGTTTCTGTGACCTTTGATCCCTTCTGTTACTTAACCCTTCCACTGCCCTTGAGGAGAGATCGTCTCATGGAAGTTACCCTGGTATATGCAGACCCACAGCACAGACCTGTCCAGGTGAGGCATGTTGAAGACACGAATTTCTTTAAGTCATCTGAGTCTTTCTCTTAGGTTTTAAAGTTGAGACTTTTAAAATAATCCAAAGGACATTGATGTCCACCTTTGAGTGAAGTAGGATGGGTTTTTTAATGTAAAAACTGGAAATTGAACACATGAAATCAAGTGGCTTTGTAAAATCTTGGTTTGTGAGACTAAGGTCATGGGTCAGCTGGAAGTGGCTTACCTGTTCCTGTGATGAGATTACCTGTGCAGGATGTATTGCTCCCTGAAAGCAGTAATGTGTTTGCGTTGGCATGTTTACCTCGTGTTACCTTGGAAAATGTAAAGGTGAAACTTACCTAAATGGGTAAAGCCTCTGAATTTCAAACAGAAATGAAAAACAATCCCTCTTGGGGGAAAAAAAAAAAAAAAACAAACAAACTTGATTGCTTGCTCAATTCTAAGATAGACTGATTTTTAATTCCTCCTTTCCCCCCCCTTTTATTTTCAAATGGGCCTGTGGATAGGCACACACATACCTAAAGTAACCTTGTGCTTGCCATGCATGTCAAGAGAAGCACAAGATGTGGGAGGCCCAAGCAGAGTGACTAGATGTCCTGATGCAGTTTTGGAGGCACTGCTTGGCAATATTTGCATGTGCTGTGGATTATAACTGTGGGTGGTAAAACTCGTGCTTTGTATATACACTGTTAGTTTGAGGAGGGTGGTAGGTACAGTGGAGAAGAATGTATGCTGAATTCACAATAAATTTTCATCCTGCTTTTTGTACAGCTATGAAATTAAGGACAGCTACACTTGTTCTTGTCACTAAGACTTTATAAAGGGCAAGAACAAAGAAAGGATTCATTGAGAAAACAAACAAGTTACCAGTAGCATAGAGACTGAAAGGATAAATTCTACTTTAAAGAATCAAGATTAACAGAACTTCCGCTACCTGGGGCTTTTTTAGATGAGCTGGCCACGTGCATGTTCTGCATCCCACCTTCAGTCTCTTTGTGAGCAATTCTTTGCATTTTGTGATCTCCCAGTTGGGAAGCCAGAGGTGTGCACCACTACTCCCCTCTGGTGTGTGACACAAGGAGGAGCTGTGTCTGTGCCATGTGGGTTGTGCTAAGAGAAAGTGAACTGAAAGCCACAGTGGAATATGCAGATGGATAGTATAACTGAGAAGATTCTGGTGAATATTGATACATAACTCCTTTTAGTCAAGGCAAGTACATTCCATGTAATTCTCTCTGAGTGTGTGCCTATCTGTAACCTACAGTGCCGTTGAATCCTTCTCTAAAACATACGGTACTGATTACTTGATGGAGGAAGGATGCCAGGTTAAACCAAACTGTAGATGCTTGTGTTCTGGTGCACCTGTATTCTTGCATCCATGCACATTCCTGGTTGCAGAATGTCACTTAGCCATGTTAAAAGCTCACAGATCTGTCTTCAGGGAAGTGTTCAGAGCACTGGAAGTGGAACCAATGGATTATCGTATGTTTAGCATCCGAGGCAGAGCATTCCCACTGACTTACAAGATACTTCTGCTTAGGAGTGTGGAAGGTTTCTTGACTGTGCCCCTCGTGCTTTTTGTAGCCTAATGTGAGTGGTGCATTGACTCAGGCCAGCAGCCAACCACTCACACAGCCTCTTGTTCACTCCCCCCTGCCCTCTTCCCAGCAGGAGTGAGGAGAGACTAGAAAGAACAAAAGCAAGAAAACCCATGGGTAGGGATAAAGATAGTTTAATAAGTGAAGGAAAAGTGGGGAGGTGGGGTCAATGACACAAATGACGCGAAGGAAATCACTTGCCACTTCCCACGAGCAGACCGGTGCCCAGCCACTGTCTGAGCAATAACCTTGGAAGCCAAAAACACCCTTTTTTTCTCTACCACAATTTTTATTGCTGAGCATTACATTGCATATATAGTATGGAATAGCCCTTTGGGCAGTTCAGGACCACTGTCCTGGCTGTGTCCTCTTCCAACTTATTGCCCACCCCAGCCTACCTGCGGATGGAGCATAGCAGAGACAAAGAGAAAGTCTTGACGCTGCACAAGCACTGCTCAGCAATGACTAAAACATCAATGTGTTACCAACACTGTTCTAGCCGCAGATCAAAAATGTGCACCATACAGGGTGCTATAAGGAAAGTAACTCCCTCCCAGCCAGCCCCAGTACAGGGTAATACATGGTGTGTCCTATTCTGGGTGAGCTCTGGGGATTTGTTTCAGTCTGAGGACATGTCCGGAACAGAACTCTTAGAAGAGGTAAACTACAGCCTGTATTGATGACATTGCCCATCAAATGAAGATTTACGTGGTCTGATCTGCTCAGGAGGGTCCATCCTTGTATGCCATCCACACAAATGTTTGCCTTCCTGTCTGTCAAGACTTCTAACTTGACCTCCAGAGGCACTGGGGAGAATGGCTCTAGGATGTTTTTTATCACATAAAGAAGCAGCAGTTTATGTTCTGAGCAAGCTGCTGTGTCTGGTGATTTTTTTTTTTTTTTTTTTTGGGGGGTTTTTCTACTGCTGAGCCTGATCAAAGCAGAAGGCAACTGTTTATGGCTCTTTCATTCCCTCCAAATCCCTGCTTTGTAAAGTAGAGCTGAGATACAGAAGGCCTTGAAGTGTGTGGCTGTGACCTTAACTTCAGCAGAACTCCTATAAATTAAAGGTTTTATTTCCATTTTCTTGCTCTCTGCATTGCATGAGTTTATTTTGCCTAGTGTAAGCATGATGTTATCTTTGTTTCTAGTACCGGGTTGTGGTGCCGATGATGGGGGCTATCTCAGATCTGTGTGAATCACTCTCCAAACTCTCTGGTGTTCCTGCAGAAAACGTAAGGATAAATGCAGCACAGTAATTTTGATAAATGTTTGTTTTTCTTGAAGCATTTTGGTGGCTTAGCTTTGAGATGGGTGATAAGCTGAACTTAATGAAATAGTGACAAAACCCTAACAAGTTTGAATGCTGTTCTTTGATTGTAAAATAAAAAGATGCATGAAACAATCTGTGTTTATTCTGATACTTCCATTGCAGTAGACGAAGGGGCAGAAAGCTAGCCCCCACCCCCAGCATTTCTGATAGTGTAGTTTCTTAGTACTGAGAGATGTTCTATGTCTGTTTTGGGTCCACCTCTTCTTGGATATCCTTTTAATAACAAAGGGATCAGGTGAGCTTTTCCAGAGTGAATGGTTTCCTAGTTGGTGGGGTATTCTTAGGATGCCAGTGTAGCACTTAAATTGATTTCAGTTAATTATAGATGTGACTGATCCGTGCCTGAAATCCTAGCCTGTTGCCACTTTGATCTTGGGATCTGTGCTGCTGTTTCCACCAGGCTGACTTGCAGCTGTTGGAATTGCATCTCCTCAGTACCTCTATAAAATCAGTGTTACTTGCTTTTTCTGATCCATCTTAACAAATATAGCTGATTAGCTACTGGGTGCTGTTATAGAAAACAGCGTTGATGTTGGTGTGCTGAAAATTCTGATAAAGAGAAAACAGGAATAAACTGTTGCTTGAATTTAAAGTTAGTTTGCCTAAATTTATGGAAGCTTTTATTATAATCTTTTTGCAAATATCACTTGCTGTTCTAGATGGTGGTGACAGACGTGTATAATCATCGATTCCACAAAATCTTCCAAATGGATGAAGGTTTAAATCATATCATGCCAAAAGACGACATCTTTGTGTGAGTAAAGTGGGAAGATGCCATGATGCGAAGAATACTACAAAACATTCACTTTGGTTTCAGGATATAAAACCCGAATTCCCCCCCACCCCCTCAAAACCTAAGCCTTCCTGTAGACCTTTTGTATGACTTAGCAGTAATGCAGCACTTCTCCTAGCAGCAAATCAGCATGTGCAGTGTTTAGTAGGTGTTTTCCTAATACAAGGGAAGTCATGGCCCTGGGTAATGATGAACTTTTTGTGTGGTCTGTGTTCTGCGTTTTGGAACTTTCTACAAGCCTATTTCAGAGATGATAACGTATGTCTGGATTACAATTATGCTTTCACTGGCATTTTTAGGCAAGCTCAAGCTTACTGTTCTTATGCTCCAAATCAGCCAAGAGCCTTGGAGCTCTTATTAGGATAGCATGAAGTCTAAGCTGTTGTACTCTGCCTTTCCAAAAACCATCACAGTTGTTACAGCACCCAACTAACCATGACTGGGGGTTCTTGATAAACTCTTGACTGGTGCTTACGCTATTTGTATCTTAACTGTGGTTGTGAGGGACTTCAGCGAAGGTGAGGATTTGGTTGTGCTTGATGTTCTACATACAAGTGGTGGATGAGATGTCTCCAGTCATCTGTGAAATCTGGTGAGGAGAGCAAAAGTCATGTTCCTCTATTGCAGCTGGAAAATGAAAAATATTGCACATGAAGTGCAAAACGGACTTTGAGGCTCGCAACTGAACCTGGGGCTTGTGAGGTCAAATCCAGCCCTTTATCATAAGTCCAGTCTTCCTCACATGAGAATATTCCAGTGCAAGGATGTTGCTTCTGTAAAATAGCTGCACCAGTGTGAAGTCCTGCATTAATATACTCTGGTGCAATGTGTACCTTTCACTGAGTGGGATGCTGTGACATGCTGCTTGGTGCTATTCTGTCATGCTGTCTGTCATGATCTAATTGCTGAGATGTAATGTCTGAGTTTTTCTGAAAGTTCTTGTCGTGTTGTTTTCTTCAGTTGCACTGAAAGGTGTGGCCAGTTAGGATGCCTAGGAAGGACATTTGGCTTCTGTGAAATCGTTTTGTGAGGGTATTGTAAAATGTTAGATCGTAAGTAAGTCTGTCTCCAAAGCTAGTAAAACATTGAAAAAACAAGCAGCATGATATTACAATGGTAATTACAAAAAAACCCCCACTTTCCTACAGGCGTAACATGTTGCGTATCCCTCCACAGAAAACAACTATGTCTGAATTGGGTCTGCTCAGGGGGAAGCATTAGCTGAACTGCAGCTCCACGTGTATTTTCCTTTGCAGTCACCACTTCCTTTTATGTGCAGGCGCAACTGTAAATGAGGTGATGCTGTAAGTCATAGTCAGAGTGAGTGAACTGACCTGGGTTAAAAATAACCCTGCAAGGAAGAAGAGAGGTAGAAGGAGGAAGTTTTGCTAATCCTGTTTTTCTATGTACACCCTCTAAGATGTTTTCAGCACTGTGGGGCAAGAGCAAGCAGCGAGGTACCAGGGCAAGAATTAGGAGAAAGCTGCTCACAGAAACTTCCTTTAATGGGTGATGCTGCCAGGAAAAATATATGTAAAGTAATATTCTAACCTACAGGTAAAAAACAGCATTCATTTATTGAAAGGGAGTCTTGTCTCAAAAATGCAACAGAGAAACACTGATTCATAAAGAGCAAAACTTCTTATTTAAAGGTAAATGCATAATTACTTTTATTGTGGACAATCTGCTTACCTTGTCTGGTTATAAAAAGTGTGCTCTTAGGTGTTCTAAGATTTAATTAAATCATTCAAGAAATGGTAATAGTAGTGTCTGTTTCCATCTGTTAAAGTCTTGTATCTGCTGAAGCAGGTGTGAAAGGAGGGATTGACAGTACATCAGTTTTGTGTTAAGATTGGTACAAGGAGGGAGTGATCAGGGTGGGTCTTCAACTTGGGATTTCTGAACTGCAGGTTTGAGTGATTCTTTAGGAATTTTTACCCTTTTGCTGTTACTTGCTTGTAGAGCCTGAGGTGAGCAGGCTGTGAGAGTGTAGTGGCACTTGCAGAAACTTTGAAAATTGTCACTGAAAGGAGTCAGTTGGATTTAAGACTAGCTGTGTTAGGTTTTTGGTTTATTGGGCTCTTGCAAACTGATGACACTAGGAATATGCTGAAGGCTTTTTTTTTTTACTCCATGTGTTACGTGTTTCTAATATCTTTCTAAGAAATTTTGATTTTATTTTTCTTCGCAAGAAATGTTTTTAATTTTTCTTTGTATGTAGCCCATGGTCTAAGGAGTCCTTCAGATCTCTTAAAACTCTTCAGTAAGTTGAAACTGTCTTCTAAAAGTTTTTTCAGGCTTTCTAAATCTTAACGTTTAAGACTGTGAGAATTCTCTGAGTTGCTTTTGGAGGAGTAATATGGTCTGTTTGGACTTGGTACATCATTGCTAAAAAAGTGCATAACTTCCAAAGTAATGTGAGTATTTTTGTCCTGCTGGCTTCAAAACTTGTTTTCCATTGGGGAATGTACTTGTAGCCATGGAGGTGCATCTCTGCCTTCTGCTTCTTGCAGAAAGGATGATTTTATACCTGCTAGAGAGGAATCCTGCACAGAACCCCATCCCAGCACTTTTAGCTGTCACGCTGGCCCTTGTATGTTTTCCTTCAGTGCTGGGACTTCTCTTGGGTTGCCTGCTTGCTTTTTTTGATGAGAAGCAAATGCTGCTCTGACTTGCACCTAACGACTGCAACCCACCTTGGGGCTGGACCCAGGCACTGCAGTGCTTTCTTTGTGGGCCTTTTCTCCAAAACCAGAGCAGGAGCAGCCCTCTTCACTCCTCCTGTGTTCTCTGGTTGACTTGTTCCTTCTAGCCTAACTGGTTTAGTGTTCCTAAAGTATCCTGCTTTTTACGTTTTTGGTGTGAAAACATATCTTATGCTTATCCTAAGTGCTGGTTGACTAACATTCAGCATTCGTTCCTGCACCTTAGCTGGGTTGGTGCAACTGTGGAACTAAAAGATAACCTGGGTCAGGATGCAGGGCAGTGTTAAAGTAACCGTTCTCTTGTCTGGCCTGGAGTGCTGTGTTGCTCTGGTCACAGCTGTCCTGTTGTACCCGTGGAAGCGGCTCAAGAGTGGGGCAGGGATGGATTAAACAGAAACTTCTCAAGTGCTCTTCAGGCTGTTACATTTCTGGCAGAAGTTACCAAAACCAATGTGTCAGATCAGGGCTTGCTGCCTTCCTGAAGATGTTGTGTGATGCCTGGCTAAAGAATGCGGCAACCTGGTGGTCCTATGTTCAGGTTGCTGCTGCTGCCAGTAACTTCAGGAGTTTCTGATATCCCAGCAATTTACTTACCTTCTTAGATTACAGGCAAATATCTTGCTGTTTATTAAATGGAGGAATAAAAAATATTGCAAAAAAATCTTTCTTTCAGAAATCTTCCACTTTTAAAGAACTAACTTGCTTCCACTTGAAACTAAAAATATGTAATTGAAATAATGTAGAGTTGAGAAATATTCTGTTTCCCCAAAGTCAATGAAGAAGACTTGAGTGCCCATTAAAAAGCATTTTTTTCTTTTAGTTTTAAATTAAGGCAAATTCTTTAGAGAAGTGACAGGAAAAGACTTGCTTCTTATGACTTGAAGGATGGCTCTGTATGCCTGCATAGTCCACAAAATGTTCAGCTTGGAAAAGATCCTCTTGTGCTGACTGGTGATGTAGTTGTGGGGTGTATCACTAGTTACACTGAGTAATGTATCTCTCTTCTGTTCCTGAAAGAAAACTATCTTTGTATTGCTTAATGAGGGGAACAGCTGCCTTTTATTAGAAAGTATAACTGTGTAATGTTTCACAGTGACCGTATTTTCACCCAAAATTCACAACTGAAATATATAACAACCTAAAAAAGATTCAATATATCATGCTAACCCATCAAAAGTTTATTTGCACTACATTTATACTGGATATTGCCACAAAATAAACTTCTAAGAAGACTTTCTAAAGTGTTAAGTTGGGCTGACAAGATAGCAATTAATTTATAAGCAAGGAAGAAACCCTCTGGAAGCTTCTTGCCTACCATGTTTTGAAAACATAATTTTTCCTGAGATTGGTTTGAATCACTTAATTGTCTTGTGTAGTAAGACTAAAACATATCAGCTTCTATTTTAGGAGATTAGAAGTTACAGAAAAGATGAGTTTTTTAATAGCATTACTTATGTTACAAATCAAATAGGAAAACTGCATCATTTCAGGATATTGTGCTCACAGTGCAGCAAAGCTAAGTGAGAGGTATGTCAGCTATCAGGTGAGAAAAACAAACTGGAGAGGGATATCTGGTAATTATGGTACCTTTTGCAGGGTGCGTTCTTAGGTACTAAATGTTAACCTAGATGTCTTTAAAGTTGACATACAATATACAACCTGGGATATGACTGAGGACCCTTAGTTAACCATTTGTATTTAAATAAGAGATATTTTCTAGAATCAAAACATCTCTTGTATTTAAATTAGCATGATACGGTCTCATGTACTTGAACTCTTTCCTAATTCATTTTTTATTGATCCCATTCCTTTTATATACTGATCATCTGTTCTTATGTTCTGGTAATGTCCAGTGGCAAGACTTCCCTGTTGGCATACTGTCACATGTACATCTCATTACTTGTTTTAAGTAATTGAAGTTAGATGCAAAGTTTCTTTCACTGGTTAGAAAACAAAGTGCAAAGAAGTAAGCAATTCAGAACAGTTAAATCAGTACAGTGTATTCAGAAATAGGTTTCTCAGGTGTACATTCCCCAAACTTATATTTTAAAATTGCAGACTGCTCAGTGGGTCCTAGTGATTTTTGAGGTGTTTTCCTGAAGGATTTTGCTGCCTTGTCTTTGAATTTGGATATGCTCACAGGTCTTTCCATTTGTTCCTTCCCAATAGCCACACTGAGAGAATTACGAGAGAAGCTGTGATAAACTTAAGACAGTACCCTTCAGTGCCTGGTGGTAGTGTTTAAATCATCTTTTT